TTTTTTTTAGGTAGCTCTTATTTAGTTGTAGCATTAGAAAAACTGCAGTTGAGAATTTTTTTCTTTTACTTTAGAACGAGCAAGAATTCAAAACCCACGCCGTATACCCACTACTATGCGAAAAAATCCACGTAGTTCTGTACTCGCCTTTTCAGAAAAATCAAATTTTTACAGGTCTTCAAACTATTTCAAATGTTCTTCAATAATGTAATTAAATTTAGGCACTAAAGATGGAAGAGCCTTCATTGTGGAAAATGGAATTGTAAAGAAAGAGTGGAAGATTCCAAACAGTCCAGCAATTCGAGCTGCATGCTGGACTTCTATGCATAGCGTAAATCTGACCAAATTTATTTATTCTTGAAAGACTCTTAGGTAGTTTTCCAAAACACAACATAGAAATACAAATTTTAGAATTTTATGGAAACTTCTCATAGAGATCCTGTAGTAGCCTTCATGCTAAAAAAGCGTCAAATTTCGTTTCCAGATAACAATCGGACTTGGAAACGGCCGCATTCTGGAGTATAACACAAACTCCATTCAGCAACTTCGTGACTACTCACGAAACATTGGACAGTCACCAATAATCATGACAAAGTTTTTCTAAAAAATATTTTAATCTTTGTAAACAATCCTTATTTGTAGATATTTTCACTCCTCAAACATTCTGATGGCGTGCAGCAATACAAGACTGATGGCGTACAAGAATGGACAAGAATTTGACCTCATGGTTCCGCGTCAAGGTTAGTATTGTTCCAGCTACAAATATATAAGAATGTTTTTCAGGAGAATTTGATAAAATCTTGGCCATCTCTATCGACGAAACATCGCTCCACTTTGTAGTAACGCTGCATCGTTATGGCAATATAGACTTCATCAAACACGAGCTTTTTCAACTTATCACCAACACCGGCAACCAAAAGATAGAACAAGACAGATCATTTTCGCCAGTAAAAACTTTTTTTAGGTAGGCAGCAAAGCCCTGGCATCCTGGGAAACCGAATTTCATCCATCATTCAATTGGGCAACATGCTTACTTCCGCTCAAAAACTCTTTGTACTCATTCGTGTCAACAACAAACGGAATTGCGATCCATGATTGGTCGCGTACAAAAGAAGATGTGAGTAATAAAATATAGCTAGTATTAATTTTTCATATATATGGTTTTAGCTCCACGTAAATTGCCGAGCAAGTATTGTGGACATTCGAGCCACGGCAAAAGACGAATCCAGCAACAACATTATGGTCCTATCCGAGAAAAACATGGTTTATCTCAAATTCGGTCTTACAAGATGCAACAACTGCAAATAAAAAAGAAAAAGGACCAAGACGACCACGCATTTGAAAGATTCACATACATACTCTACGCATATGTTACCTCATACGTACACTGTACTCTCACCAACATTTATACGCATATGCTACTCAATACCAACATTTATTTGTCAACACATGTATAAAAAAATTTTTT